CGCCCTCCTCCCTTCTGCGCTGCGCCCGCATCTGCGGGTCGCAGCGCATGGTCATGACGTCATGATCGCCGTGTAGTGGGTGTCCAAGAGTCTGTCGTCATCCAGGTCCGTCTCGCCATGCTGACTGAGCCATCTCCTGGTGCTGCCGGCGGTCCCTCTGCTTGCGCTGGATGCCCTCTTCTCGCCTGATCTCCGTCGTGGGGGGTGGACCTGTTAGCTGGCAGCGTCGGTTTATATTGTGAACGTCGATAGTCTGGTCCGCAATTCGATGGCCACGCCGGTGTGGAGGCCAAGGTGCACCATCTTCTGCTCGGGCTGCTCGAATTGGAGGTCTGAAGTCTGGTGGGGCGATGGCGCGATCTATGATGTGGCTCGACTCGCTGCTGCGCGCATAGAACTAGCGCGCAGAGGTACTGCAACTGCGCCGCCGAGAAGCTCTAACCAGGGCGTCGCCTAAAGCTCCTGTGGCGCATTATTGAAGTCTCCACGCGCAACCCGCGGTATGTTCCCAAGGCGACGCGTGATCAGCAGGGGGCGCTTCGCCTGGCGGATGTTCTCGCGCGCGAAGCCGGTCGATGCAGCGAGGTGTGCTGTGGCGCATGCTGCCTGCTGGCCCTTGAGCCTTTACTTAGCAACTGAAATGCCATGGGGCTCTTTGGCGGGGGTGCTGCGGCCCTGCGCGTCTCAGTATGCGTGTGCCTCCGAATGTATCTTTCTTCGTTCGTGGCGACTCTCTCGCTGGGGTCCACGTGCCATGGGGGCGCCATCCATACTGCGTGAATATGTTGGCCGCTATGTCCGCCGCTGGTCCACGATGGTGATGCTCGTTGGAGGCCATCGGGTCGCGCTCCTTCCTTCTCTCATTCTCGATGAACTTCTTGGCGGCCTCATTGTGCTGCGCGCAGTTGGCCGCGAAAGTCTTGGCGGTGGGCTTCGCCTCGTCAATCTACAGGTCCTTGCCGGCGCTGCTCTCGGCCTTTTTTCCTTGAGCCAGAACCCTGCGTGAATAAGAGCAACGACGACGTAGGCGCGATGCCGGCAAACATTTTAGGGTCACTAGTTCCAGACAGCGAGCATCAGTCTCAGCCCTAATGGCAACCAACAAGTTCACCTAACGCACTTCTCTTGGCGAGACCCACTAGGCCAGTGCTACTAGACTACGGGATCCCATGCCAGACCCTCGCAGGGGTCAGCTGAGGTGTACAAATCACCCATATAGCAATGCCTTCGAGTCACTCCAATCCACCACCCTTTTGCGTAGTACGTATCATGACCTCCGACAAGACATCCCAACGTATCTCCTTACCTTTCCCTGGGCGCAAACAAGAACATAGCATGACAACGAGACCTGCCTGACATCACGCTCCACCCAACCACACAGGCTGCGCTGACATTGCACGGCCAACCGCTACCCACATGCTCCACACTGCTCATACCCCGATGGTTGACTGCAAACCACCAGCGCCGACTCAGCACTGGCATTCAGAGTGCTGCAGTACGACGACCACACGCCAAGCATGCACGGATACTACACGGGCAGCATCACGAGCAGCATCCATAGCGACATCGACACATACCAGCTCGACAGCACAAAAGGTGGAGCTGGCCGTCATTATCTGGGCAATACTATACGCCACACGACAAACACCCCATTTACACCAGCAAACGCACACAGACCCCGCCAACACAGTCCACATACGCAATCAACTCACACACAACGACGGCCCACTCACAACGATAGCGCAAGCACTGTTCCGCCAGGCGCGGAAGTAACATTCCATCAGCATGGACCACATACATGGGCACGAAAACCATCCATGGAATGAGTTTGCACACGCACTAGCAAAAAAGGCATGCCGCAGTCAACTACGCCGCATACGATCAAGCAAAACCGACTCCAGATTTCGTTTACCAGAAGCCTACTACTACAAAGCTTGGTATAAGACCACAAAGCACCAGTACTGGACGATCCGCCAAAACGATCCAACCACCAACCACCACGCTTATTCAATGATTCAGCTAGCCGGATTTCACTACCAGACCCACGTTGCACACCAACCCGCACCACTCACTACTGCGGCCGGCGAGCAGACCAACGCCGACATACGCACACAAGCAGCATCCACAACCGCAGAGGACGAGACAACCACGCCCCACCTCAATATTGCCACTTACAACGCGCACAAAGAGCAAATGTCGATGCGACAAGCGACGTTCTACAGCGTGACAGATATACGCTCCATCGCATGGCGAGAGGGCAGCACTCACGAACACAGGCTCTCCTGCATAATGTTCACATCATGGGAACACAAAGGACGACGTCGCGAACCGACTACAGTACGGCGGACACCTGCATGCAGTTCACTACATCGCAGCACCCTTCCAGACTAGGGTGCAGTTTGCTGGCCAGCACAACAATAACGCACGCCACTAAATCCAAATGACAGCTTTCCTTCAAGTACAAGCACTTCAGGATACAATACTCATCTCGCCGACTGCTCATCCTCAAGCTGAAAGCGTCATTTATCAGCGAAGCCATTTACGTCGCGCGCGCCTCATATGCAACATGGCACCAAACATACTACCAAATGGTGGGAATCCATTCCATAGCCTGGCCACTACATGGCCTCACACCATCATGCTTGCAGAGTTCAGTGGAATAATCAACACTAACAGCTCGACAGGCGTTGGCAACACAGCATTGCAAGCACATCAACGACAATGTAGCGCAAGTCCGACTGTCTATGGCAGCTCACGGCCTCACGTGCACTAACACAGTCATGCGCCGCGCACCAACACGCGCACTTGTAAAAAAGAGCAAAGGCAAGCTGACTAAGCATAGAAATGACTACATTGCAATTGCCAATGACTGGCTACCATATTTTACTGACCTACATGTCGACCACAACCACGCCTCAGGATCCAATAGCGAAGACCACTACCCAGTGTACCTCACGATCGAGCACAAGCGACTACATACCAAAACAATAAGGAAATAACCACCTCCATACAATTTGACCAAGATGCAAGACCCAAACAAACAAACCCTATTTGACAAACTACTCGACAGCCAACCGCTACCAACATGTAATACGCACATTAACCAACATCACCACTTGATCACCAACACAATTCACGCAATAGCAGCATAACGCTTCGCAACAGACGACTTAATACCCCAGCAAACCTACATCACCCCTGAGACCATGAAGCTCACGCGACTCAGGCGACATGCCATAGCAATCCTACGCCCGAGCAAAAATACGAGCACTACCGCTACGCTGCACAAACTCAACAACGACATTACACAGTACCTAACAGGACAACCAACAGACCAGCTCACACACAAGCGCTTCACTTAGCACACTATAGACACCCCCTGCCGACGAACACTACGACGCACAACAAGCATTACGGCATTTCCCAGCAGCAACCAGAACACCACTGGACCATCATCTCAAGAAGGAGGCGCCGACCACATAGCAGCACCATCCAACAATTTCCAGCGCATCCACGACATGCACGAACACAGTGCAGCTTGGCAACGCGCACGGGCTGCGCGACGATACGGACCAGCCACCAGGAAAAGAGCAGCCAAAGCACAAACCATGCCTTTCTTCACAGACGCAACGGGGAAAATGCTGGAAACCGACGAACAACACAAATACGAATTTACAAGAAACTTGGCACGACAAGAACAACTACACTCACGGACAACGACGGCTCATTTCAACACTACAACCTCACTCGGGAATCTACTGACCCGGGTCAATCCATACCCGGGTCAATTCAAGCTTTGCAAAATCCGGCAGAATCCTGCAGAATCCTGCGCCCAAGCCCAGGTCCGTGCTTGCCTGGCTCTGCAACATCCTTCAAGATCCAGCGCTCTGACTGGCCCCCGATTGCATTGCTCCCTGTTTCTTGAACCCCGATGGAGAGGGGGGAGTCTGGTTCCCGACCTCTGGTTGAACGCGACTGATTGCAGCAGTGCGTCCTGTGGGGGAGACCCCACCTGCTCAAATGCTCCTGGCGAGTCGCAGCTGCAAGCTCCCGACGTCCGACGTTTCCAGACGTTGGGAGCCTCTCCCCCCCTTGAGGGGCAACCTCAAGGGGGCACAGGGGGGACCGGCGCAGGGGGAACATCGACCCACCGATCGCCCACTGATCGGCGATAGGCCCTGATAGCGATACCAACTGGGCGGGGTGGACTGTTGAGCCCTCGGCGCTCACTGGGCCACTGTGGGTCGATGCGCCCCACCCCTGTGCCTTATCCCCCCCCTGATGTTTTACCAGCCTCGAACTTATCCCTATCCCTAAGATCGACACGCCAAAAGGCGATGACAATCTTAGGGATCCGCCCTCAAAAAATAAGGGAATCCCTAAGATCGGCATCGTGAAGAGGAGATGCCCAGCATAGGGATAGGGATATGTTCCAGGCTGGTAAATGTTGTCTTGAAAACTTTCGGATCACAACTCGGCTTTCTGGCGGTCGATCGCCACGACCTGGGCACCCTCAGAACGAACGACTTCGGCGAGGCGCAGCCGGTGGAAAAAAATACCCCGAGGCGGGGAGACCGCCGAGGAGCGACGGAAAAGGCCTGAACACCTCGAACCTCGAACTTCGCCCTGAGCGCCTCCTGCATCCCCTTGTTGAGCCCATCCCACCCTTAGGGGCCTCCTAGATGGGGTCTGAGTAGATGTGGTCGTATGATCGCGACATCGGCAATGCGTCGGCGACGGCGCGATCCTCCGACCCCATCTACTCGGGCCCCATCGAGGACCATGGCTCCAGCCATGATATCCCCCCCCCTTGTCATCACCCCTCCCTTGGCCGCCCCCGACCACGGGGGCGCGGCCAAGAGGGGGAAGGAGGAGGAGGAGAAGGAGGAGGAGGAGGAGGAGGAGGAGGAGGACGAGGACGAGGAGCAGGAGGAGGAGGAGGAGGACGAGGAGGCCACCCCACTGACCCTGACCCCGGCAGGCCCCCCCCTGGTGCGCGCCCTGCGCCGCCCCCAGCGGCGCGCGAACCCGCCAGCAGCGCCAGAGCCCTGCCCGGCGGGCGCGCACAGAAAGTTATGGTGGGGGCAGCCCTCTTCGAGGGAAGGGCAACGGTATCTTCCTCGTGGCCTTGTAGAACGAAGCCAAAACGAGGATAGCATTTGGTGAAGAAAAATCGAGAATCTCTGAAATTTGGTGGCTCTGGAAGATGTATCGGGCCCCGCGGCCTTCCCAAAGCGTTCCGGAACGTTCTGGCACGGGTTTTGATCCTCGTCCTGCTCGCCCCGTCCGAACGTTTCTCGTGGCCTTCTCCCCTCCCTGCGGCTCACTTCCCCCTGGAGGCCTGGAGTCCTTTCCCGTGGCTGGCCTTGCCTCCCGGCCAATCTGTTGACGGCCCCTGGGTTCAGTGAGGGCCCCAGAGGCCGGAAGCGGCCAAACACAAGAAAGGAGGAACTGCATGAACACACCTTCCCGAAGCAAATGCAAAAGAGGAAGAACGGCACAAGCCCCGGTGGCGGCGCCCTTGGCGCGCTCCGCGCGCCGGGGAGAGGGGCCCAGCGCCAGTCCAAAGAATCCGCGCGGAGCTCCGACAAGTTATCTTACTGTGCGTGTCTTCTGCGAGAGATGGGATGCCAGGGAAGACGTTGGCCTTCTTAGAAGGCAGAGGCCTTTCGCACGGTGCCATGGCGACCCGGCGCGGTGGCCTACGCTTGCCGCAAGCGCTGCACGCCACGCCGCGCGACCTCACGCGGGCAGTTTGCGCGCGAATGTCCGCACAGTCGATGCCGCTCTACTGCGTCGCCAACATGGGGTCCGAGCAGATGGGGTCGGATGATCGCTTCGCACCCCGGATGCATCGCCGATGCATCGGCACTGCGAGGGCGATGTCGGGGAGAGGAGCATCGGGATCCACACCGCGGGTGCGTCGGCGATGCGGGGCGATCCTCCGGCCAGACTCGAACCCCATCTGGGAGGTCCAGATAGAAGCTCTCCCATCTTCTAAAAGACCTTCTTGGTAGGAGCCCCCGGGCCACGCTGAGAAGGGCCCTGCTTGTGAAGAGTCCACCCTCGCCTTCTCAGAAGGCCCTCCCCCCCTCGCGCCACCTCCTCCTCAGACCCCCGACGCTTACTCTGTGTGCCGACCCAAGATCTCCAGGCTGACCCTCGAACGTTCGTGTTCATGATTTGTTTCTCCATCCTCGAACACATTCTCCGCCACTGGTCATCGCTCGGACGTCCATTCCCTGTGTTTTTCATCGGTTTCGTGCGTGGCTTTTTCGCAAGATGATCCAGGATGCTCCTTAATAATCCCCACCGAGAAAAAAGCACACGTCCGAGCGATACCAAGGCCATGTCTTCTTCACGCCGCGCGCAGAAGGAAGGGGTCTGGTCCTGCGCGTGCCAGCACCGGCCTGGCCTGGGCCTCACTGGCACGTCCCCCCCCCCCGGATGGGGATGTGCAGGCTGCTCCGCTCGGGTCTCGACGGGCCCAGCTCCAGCCGCGGCGGTGGGACGGTGGGGGTCGAGATGCAGTCGAGCCTGTCTCTCTACAGGGGGAATATTCAAAAATAGTACAGAAGCATAGCCTGGGACTATTTTTTGAATATTTTTGGGCATGTTCTGCATATGTTTTTAAACTTTTTTATTTTTCGTCCAAAATACCCCTGTAGGGGGACAGGCCCGACCTAAGGGTTGAGATACAGTCGACCTTGATCAGCAGGCCGACCCTTCCAAGCCAAAGGGTGCCCTCCGTCCTGAGTACGGCGCGCCGCTTCTGCTGCACTCCTGGGGCAAGACAGCGCCCTCTGGGTCGGAGGCCACGCTGCCCTCGGAAGAGCCCCCGTGTCCTCCCGCGCGTCCTGCCATGGCCCCGTGGGGCTGGACATGGGCCCCCGAGGAGGCCCCAAGAGGCCTCCAAGGGGCCCCAACGAGGCCCCACGAGGCTCCCACAAAGCTCCCAGGAGGCCTCCAAAGAGGCCCCCAAGAGGCCCCCAAGAGGCCCCAAGGTTGCTCTCGAGAGGCCCCCGAGAGCGCCCAGAAGAGACCCGAAGAAGCATCCCCGAGACCTCTGACCCACAAGGAGGAGGAGGAGGAGAAGGAGACGATCCTGACGACAGAGGCTCTGGACTGGAGCTCGCCGCCCGCCTCTCCAGGCCCAGGCTCCGCGCGGCGAGCAGCCGGCGCACCGCCTGCGCCGGGGGGGGGTCTCGTGCGCGCCCTCGGCCGCGTGATCCTCCTCGCCCTCGTCCTCGCTCTGCTCGTGGCTCCTCCTCGCCCTCGTCCTCACACTTGCCGTCGCTCGGACGTCCATTTCCCGTGCATCTTTCGGTTTCGTGCGTGTTTTTTTTGCTCGATGGTCCAGGATGGTCCTGGACGGTTCTCGCCGAGAAAAAAAGCACACGTCCGAGCGATGCCAGGTCACATGGGACGCGCCGGGGCATACTAGTACTATATGTCCTCCTTGGAGGCGCGCGTCCGACACGAATATACAGTATACCCAAATTGTAGTGTATCGTTTCCCGAGCGGTGTGGCCAGGAAGCGCCAGCAACCACGCATATACTGTACAGTTTCTCGGTGCGCGCGTGGCCCCTGGGGGGGGGCGACGAACACATAGTATTATCATGTTAGGGTGGCGCCGATCACATGCCGAGTCGTTCAGGGTTGGATTGCACTCGTCACTGTACCGATCTTGCAGACGTGCTGCAGCGGATGTTTGCGTAGATTTTATGTCAATGCAAAACCCCGAAACGGCGAGCGAAAAACGAAGCGAATTCCGCGTGGATGTCTTGTAGTCTCCATTCCTAGCCGAACAAAACTCCCGCACGCAATTCTCCAGGACACACTCTGGGCCCATCCGAGTGTTTTCCGAACGATCTCCGCTCTGCGATGTTGGCGCGATGACCCTCGTCCTTGAGTATCGTTGAACCGATCCCCATCCCCAGCGGCGTGGCATGGGCCCCACTGGCCGATTTACTCCCCCTAAGATGGGGATATGTCGTTCCCTTCGGGTTTCGAGGGGCGTATCCCCGACTGGGGGGGTGACTTGGTGGGGGTCTCGAAGGGGATGGGGATGGGGATGGGGATTGGTTAAATGTCGGCAGTGGACAAACCTCCCTTCAGTAAACCTCCCCTTGGTGAAAACGGCCTGGGGGCGAAACCGACGGACCTGGACCCGCAAAGACGACGGCCGCGACGCCCTCTCGCGAACCGAAAGCGGCCAATTCGCTAATCGACGTGTCAGGGTAGGTCTGCCCACCCCCGAAAACGATACCGAGTCCCCTCTCCTCCTGTGCGCTTCTCGCGGGGCCCGCACAGAGAGAGACGCAGCCATCGGGAGGCAGCAGAGAAGCAGCAGCAGCACAGCGCGCGCGCGCGACCGCCCCAACAGGCCGCCGCTGCGCCCGCGCCCTCCCGCGCGTGCCGAGGCGCTCTGGCAGGGGTCGCCCCTCGGTCCGCGAGCGTCACGGGTGGCAGGAGCGCGTTCTGATCTCATTGAGGTGGCATGCTAGGAGGAAGATGCTGGAGGCCTCGAGCGGCAGCTTGAGACCAGATTTGCGTCGGATCTACGTCGGATTTACGTCGGGTTCACGTCGGACTACCTCGGATTTACGTCGGACTGATTCCGGAGCATCGCCGCGCGAGCGTCGACCCACAACTTACTGAACTGACAAGTGGACTAGATCATCTTACTGTTACGCGCCGCGCGAGGCATCCAGGATCTTCCTCATAAGGCATGGTGTTCCAAGGCATGCAGTAGGGGCCCGTCCACAAGAAGCCTTCCACAAGAAACCCGACCCCGAGACCGCAGGACGTCCACAGCTTTTTGGTGTGGGAGCGTCGCGCTCTGACTCGCAAAGCCGTCGAAACCCAAAACACCCGGGGCACCCTGGAGGCACGCAGGGTGCTTCTTGGCATGGGCCCCCACTGCAGTGAGGGGGCCCCCCGCTATGCAGCTCGCTGTTCCACTGTGCTTATGGCGCTCGCCATGGCTCCGCTCGTCGCCCTGGGCCTCGCTTCCTCCGTCCGCTTCTCCTCCGCAGCTCAAGGAGCACAAGTGCCAACTGCCAACAAATACCCACGACAATAACATCTTGGAGGGCTTCTTGGCGTTGTTATAAGTATCCGTGTTGCCGCTAATGGATCATGCGTCCACGCTCCCGCTTGGATGCCCCACTGGCCGATGATCCACGCGGATGCTGCCCTAGAGGCCTCCTAGATGGGGTCGGAGTAGATGGGGCCGGAGGATCGCGCCATGCATCGCCGATGCATCGGCGACGTCGACGCGAAGCACATCGGGCTGCACAGCGTACCGCATCGGCGATGCGGCGCGATCCTCCGACCCCATCTGCCCCATCTGGGATGGGAGGCCGAGGTCCACGCGGATGCTGCCCGGCACCCGTCTCGAAGGCCGTCGTCCGTCTGAACCATCACGCTCATGCTCGGCCTCACTCCTTGCCAAGACCTCCCTGCGTCGCAAAGAAGCAGTCGCGGAAGAAGGCTTTTGGCCGTCTTCGGCCTCGAAGGGCCCTCACCCGGCCCCAAGGCTGTCAAAAACTCGACTCGGCACGTGACAACCTAACAGACAACCCCAACCCTATCCCGAAGAGCCCAATTTCGGGTTGGGAGGGGGGGGGGGTACGGGCCCCATGTGTTTTTTCGTTGTCCCGACCCTCCCCCAACTGGAAATCGAGGGCAAATTGAGGCCTTCGGGTTGGGTCGGGGTGGCCTGGTGGGTGGTGAGGACGAGAAGCCAGCCCTGGGGAAAGGGTCTAGACTTCGGGGGCCCCGCGTGGAAAACAAGCAGTACATCGGATCTCTGGGTCCTCGTCCTGCCCGTCCACACTCCCTGGCGCGGGAGAAAACTGGTCCTAGAGCGAAGAATGACAGAAACAGAAAAACTCAGAGGCCCGCGCGAATGTCTCGGATCCGCGCTGGACCCCCCTGGCGGCGCCTCCAGCGCCGCCCCTCGCGCGCTCCGCGCGCCAGGGAGAGGGCTCCAGCACCGATCCGAGAAATCTGCGCGGACCTCTGAGCTTGTATGTTTACATGTCATTTTTCGCTCCCCGAACAATTGCCCGATGTGTGTTGCTTGCCACACGCACTGGCGCTCTCTGCGCCTGGGCCCTGGGGCACCTGGCCCACGCGTGGCACCTCGCGACCCGGCGTCCGCCTTGGTTCCCACTCCTGGTGTCCGTCCGATGGCGGCCCCTGCCTAAGTCTGAGTCTCGCGTGCAATTACAAAGGGGAAGCAGGAAGAACGGGTTGCAGTGGAGGCCAGTCCACAAGAAACCTTCCACAAGAAACCCAACCCTGAGACCCCAGGACGTCCATCGATTCTTGGTGCGGGAACCCAGGCCAATGCCGACCCCCCACCCCCCCACCACCCCTTTCAACAAGCAATGCACATAGCACTTAGAATTTAGAACCCAAATCTGGTTCATGCGCGGACCCCCCGCGTTCACTTTGCGTTAGTTTGCATTGGTTTTTGGTTGGGTCGGCGGGGGAGATGCTGGCATATTGCCTGCTGGGTGAATGCCAACACCCCTCCACCATCCCCGCGATCACTTTGCAGTGGTTTTGAAAGGGACGGAAGGGGATGCTGACATATTGCCTGCTGTGTGAATGCCACCCCCCCAACCATCCCCCTGTACGAAGGGCACTTTGCACCAACATCTGGAAAATGCGCGGACGGCCCGCGATCACTTTGCATTAGTGTTCTGATAGGGGCGGCGGGGGTGGCGGCTTATTGCCTGCTGTGTGCAGCGCCTCCCAACCATCCCTTGCAACAAAAACAACACGTACACGTTGCAGCGTTGCATCAGAATCTTGATCACGCGCGGACGCCCCGCGATCACGCTCGCTGGTGTTTGACATGGGTGGCGGGGGTGGCGGCAGATTGCCTGGCGAAGTGAGGCAGAAGCTGGACCGATCAGGCGGCGGAGCGGAGACGTGGACCGAGTCGGCGGTGGCCCTGGCCCCGGGGCCTGGTAGGGGGGGGGGACCGCCAGCGAAGCAGAGAGCTTCCCACCAGCAAGGTTGTCCACAGCGAAATCCGCCGACCCTTCGGCACGCGGAAGACGCTGTCGTCGTCCTCGTCGTCGTCCCCAAAAAACCTGAGAAACAATGAAATCAAAGAACGTCGTAATTGAGTCGAAGGGAAGCCCCTTCCCTTTGATCCCTTCCCCGCCGTGGGGGGGAGTCCAGTGGCGGTTCTCTGGGGGGGTCCCTGGGGGGGGGGTACCTGAGGAGGGGTCCCGGGGGGACGACACGCGATCGCTTTCGCCCCCATGAACCAGGGACGATCTCGGTCCCGTAGAAGATGAGACATCTGCGTAGACAGAAACTGTGGAGTTCCGCGCAGGTTTCCTGCATCGGCGCTGAACCCCGCTCCCTGGAGCGCGGAGCGCGCCATGGGCGGCGCCGCCAGTGGGGCCCCCATTGCTGAACCCCCAAAACCGCGCGGAACACTGGCAATTGTCATTCAAGCCCGTCCAGAATTAAACCGATGCCGCTGCTCCCGGGACCTCCTCTCCTGGGGTGCGTTCTGGCCACACTCATGAGAGGCGAATCCAGCCGTGGCGGCGAGGGCTCTCTGGGGCGAGCAGCGGCATCGGCAAGGTTCCTCCTCGGAGGCCTGGGAGGCCCAAGTCTCCGACGTCGTGGCTTGTTCACGACGTGGGCACCTAAGAAGTCCGGAGCCGCGGTGGCCTCGCCGAGCAATTCCGCCCCGAGAGCGGTGCAACTCGCGACCGGGAGCTGGCAGCAGCGGTTTGGAGCGGTTGCCGAAGCCAACCTGCGATCGCCCCGTGTCTTTTTTGCTTGCTCACGCGCCGTCTGGCGCGGGGCACTCGCAAGCACGCTGGGACCTGGGAGACCCATCTCAGACGTCGTGCCTGTTTCAAAACGAAACCTGGAACCCTAGAGGTCTGGCCCCCTTTCCCAGCACCAATTTTTCAGCCCGAGCTGTTTTGTTGACGCTCCTGGGGACCAAAGAGAAGCCCCCCGTGGGCCGAACGCAGCCAGTAACCGTCCGTCGCTACAGGAGGGGCCCGACCACAAGAAACCTTCCACAAGAAACCCAACCCTGAGACCCCAGGACGTCCACTGTTTTTTGGTGTGGAAACGCCACGATTTACATCGCAACACCATCGAAACCCAAGAAACCCAGGGCACCCTGGAGGCAAGCAGGGTGCTTCTTGGCATGGGTCTCCACTGCACTGTTTCGCAGCAAAAGGCGAAGAGATCTCGGCTCTGGGAGGCCTCGGGGACGCACGGTCCCCGGGCCAACGCCATCCCGGGTCGGCCAGGGCCCCCTCGCGTCCGGCCGCTCAGCAGCGCCCAGGGGTCAGCGGAGGGCGGAGGCGGGGAATCGGCCCCGCAAGCCCTGAGATCCGACGTCGCGGAAAAGTGGAGACATCGACAGAAATCTTGAGAAAGCCCTGGGCCCCATCTTTCTGCGGGCACTTCTCGAGCCAGATGGATCCGTGATGGCGCCGGGGCCCCAAAGGAGGCAGAACCGCCCCGCGTGAAAAAATGCGACGCCAAGATGATGGTGGCTCCCAAGCCTTTGTCAGCGGGTGTTGGCCGACCCCCGTTGGCGCTGATCCCCGCTGCGTGCGCCCCGACGGAATCGAGAAAACACGCGCAGCCTGCGAAACTCACATCGTCGGAGATCTTGGGCCGCGATTTCTGCACGCCGCGCGACGTGATGCTGCCCGATCCCTGCCCCCACTCGGCTGCCCGCAAGAGCGGCCCTGGCCGAGAGTGGCCCTCGGTGCGCGGCGTCACGGGGAACGCGGGTGGCCAAACCCGGGTGCGCAGGCCGCTGCTGCCGCTTCGCAGCCTGCGAGCGGGGAGCCCCGTTGAGCCCGCAGCGGAGGTCACTCCAGCGAAGGGCCACTCTTACGTGTAGGAGAGCGCAATTTGGGGTTCGGGGCCATATCTGGCGTAATGGGAAGGGAAGGAGGGGGGAACGGGGGGGGGGGGGGGGGCATAAGGTAACGGCCCCTCCCCCCAAACTTGCCGGACGCGCTGCGGCAGTACCGGGGCCGCACTGAGGGGGGGAGCGTTACGTTATGGGAGGGGGAGGCGGGGGGGAGGGCAGGGGGCACAACGCGCGTTATGGCCCAGAGGGTAAAAACAAACTCTCTAGCCGAAGGCGATGTGGTCGTGGTCGTCGTCGTCGTCGTGGTCGTGGTCGTCGTGGTCGTCGTGGTCGTCGTGGTCGTCGTCGTCGTGGTCGTCGTCTTCGGCGTCGTCGTGGCCTGGGCCCCCTGGCTGCACGAAGCCCGAGGGCCCTCGCTGATCTTCAAAGGGTCGGCGGGGTGCCGCCTCCGCCAGCGCCTCGTCGCCGGCGGCCCCGCGGCCGGCCGCGCGCGCAGCCCTCGAGGCCTTCAGCGCATCCTCGGCCTCGAGGCCTGCGGCACCGAGGGGCCCAGAGCCCAGGCGTCCCGCGTCTCGAACAAAATGAGGGGCAACGATCACGGGGGACTGGCACGGGGGGGGGAAACATCGACCTGGAATCGGCGATACATCGCCAGTAGATCGGCGATAGGCCCCCGATCGTGAGTCCGCACGCTCCTGGGCAGGTTGGGGCTATTGGGCCCCAACCGGCGATCAATGGGCGATTCTGGGTCTATGCACACCCCCCTGGTGCCTGTCTCCCTCATGATTGCCCTTGAACAAAATATCGAGGCCTGACATTTAAATTGTTCTCGGTCGTGGACGCACTGACCCGGGTCGATGCAAACCCTGGTCAGTCAGGCTTCGAAAGATCCTGCAAAATCCTGCGCCCAAGCCCGGGCCAGTGCGCCTCTGGCTCTGCAGGATCCTGCAAGACCCTGCGCTCTGGCTGACCCCCGTTCGGCGCTCTGGCTGACCCCCGTTCCCGTTTGCATTGGCCCCCGTCTCAAGGCTCACGGCTTGGCGTCTCGGGGCCCTCACCGCGCTCGGGATGGATTACAGGTTCCGGAGAAGGAGAAGGAGGAGGAGGGGGAGGAAAGGGGAGGAGGAGGAGGAGGAGGAGGAGGAGGAGGAGGAGGAGGAGGAGGAGGAGGAGGAGGAGGAGGGGCAGGTCCCGGGGAAGGGGTCGAGAAGCTTTGAGGCCCGTGCCTCGAACAGCTCGCAACGCCGGATGTCTGGGGAAGGCGCCCCGGGGGCCCAGGGGAGCAGGGAACTGCCACTGGCTGCCTCGTCCTCCCCTCTGAGATCTTGGCGTCGCCATTCTTTCGCACTGGGCGTCTTCGCCCGACTTCGGGCGCCGGGACCCTCACGGATCGATGCGGCTGGAGCTTCAGAAAGATGGGGCCCAGGGATCCAGTTGATTTTTTTGTGGCCGCGATGCTGCAAACATTTTGTGACGTCGGATCTCAGGGTCGCCCCCTTCCCCGCTGGCTACCTACTGATCGTCTCTCTCTCTCTCTCTCTCGCTCTCTTTCCACGTCCTCCTTGTAAGATGAAATCAACGATCAATGCAGAGAGGATGTCTGGAATGACATCGAAACTGAACGAAATGTCAGACTGATAGGGCCGAACGGTCATTCATTGTCTTGGGTGCGTGGCTGAACAAAGAACTCGTGGTGATAGTTCTGCTTGTTGCGTTGTTGTTGTTGCTGCTGCTGCTGTTGTTGTTGCTGTTGTGGTTGAACTCTCACTTCTGAGAAGTAATCATTATTGATCCCCCACCGGTGTATACTGTTTTTGTTTTCAATCAAAGTGTGCCCCTCGACGCTCGCACCCTGGTTTTTACTAGGGAAGGTCTTGAAGGTCAAAAGGAGCCCCTGGCCCCCCAGATTACAACAATTCGCCGGCCCAACGGGCCAGGGCGTGCTAAGATCTCCGGTAACAGGTATACAGTATTTCTAGTTCGCGCGCGCGGGGCGGCCCCAGGAGTCCCCGGGCGAAAAGTACCCCGGCAGGTCCCCGGCAAGGTGGGGGCCAGAGATGCCGGACCGGGCAATTTTTCGACACCCCTCACGAGGATCGTGGCCTCCGAGGGGGGGGGCGCAATCGACTACCCCCGCCCTTGCCCCAAGAGGCCCCCGAGAGCCCCCCAAGAGGCCCTGGGGGCCCCCAAGACGCCGCCAAGGAGCCCCAAGAGACTCCCAAGAGGTCCCCAAGAGGCCCTAAAGAGGGCTCCAGGGCCGGCGGAATGAGCGAAGCGATTAAATAACGGCTCCCGCCGGAGACTTCCTCCAAATTTACTCAGGACCTCCGCTCCCGCCCGAGACTTCCTCGTATCTTATTCAGGAATCGCGCTCTCGCTTGGGACTTCCTTACAATTTATTGAGGAATCGCTCTCCCGGCGCTCTGGAGTCGCGCTCTCGCTGGAGACTTGCTTGCAATTTACTGAAGAATACCGCCCTGGCGTTGGAATTTCATACAATTTACTCAAGCGCCGCGCTCCCGACACCCAGGCACCCATGAGTCGCGCTCACGCTTAGGACTCCCTCACAGATTGCCCAGGAATCAGGATCTCGCTGCCCTTCGTGGCCCCGTTGCAGCCGTTCGTGGCCCCCTCGCTTTGTTTCGTGGCCCCGTTGCAGCCCTTCGTGGCCTCTTCGCTGCCCTTCGTGGCCCCGTTGCAGCCGTTCGTGGTCCCCTCGCTGCCCTTCGTGGCCCCGTTGCAGCCCTTCGTGGCCCCTCTCGTTTTGTTTCGTGGCCCCGTTCCAGCCCTTCGTGCCCCCCTCGCTGCCCCTCGTGTTCCCGTCGCAGCCCTTCGTGGCCCCGTTGCAGCCCTTCGTGGCCCCCTCGCTGCCCTTCGTGGCCCAATTGCATCCCTTCGAAGCCCCCTCGCTGCCCTTCGTGGCCTCATCTATGCATGCCCTTCGTGGCCCCCGCTCGCTCGCGCCCGCGGTGGCCCCATATGCATGCCCTTCGTGGCCCCGCTGTCGCCCTTCGTGGCCCCCTTGCTGCCCTTCGTGGCCCCGTTGCTGTCCTCAGTGGCCCCGTCATTGCCCTCCGCGGCCCAGTATACGTATGCCCTTCGTGGCACCCGCTCGTTCGCGCCCGCTGTGGCCCCATGTGCATGCCCTTCGTGGCCCCGCTGTCGCCGTTCGTGGCCCCCTTACTGTCCTACGTGGCCCAGTTGCTACCCTCCGTGGTCCCATTGATGCCTTCTGTGGCCCCGCATTATCTGCCCTTCGTGGCCCCCGCTCGTTCGCGCTCTTCGTGGCCCCATACGCGTTCCCTTCGTGTCCCCGCTGTCGCCCTTCGTCGCCTACTTCGTGTCCTTGTGGCCCTGCTCTCGTTCTGTCTCGCTGCGTTCGCTCGTCGTCGTCGTCGTCGCCGTCGTCGTCGTCGCCGTCGTCGTCGTCGTCGTCGTCGTCGTCGTCGTCGTCGTCGTCGTCAACGTCGACGTCAATGTCGACGTCGACGTCGACGTCGTCGTCGTCGTCGTCGTCGTCGGTCCTCTGTCCGTCCTTCTTGGGGTCGGGTCGACGGTCCGCGGCCGCCTCGCCGATCAGCGCTGCCGCTGGCCAGGCCGACGGTCCGCGGCCGCCCCGCCGCTTGCCGTGGCCCGGCCTGCAGGAAAGAAAGGTATACCCCCCAAAAGGGGTTCGATCGAAGACGAAAAGGGCGGGCGAGGGTTAGGGAAATACGCGTTATTGGACACTCGAGCAGATCAGGGCGAACAATATTAAACTTATTATTGTTGTTGTTGCTGATGTTGTTGTTGTTGTTGTTGCTGCTGCTGTTGTTGAACATTATTAATTCTAAAGAATAATTATTGTTGGGACCCCTGGTGCACGGCCCCCCTGCGCCGCCTAGGCCGCAGCTACATTTTCATCATTTTCGTGAGGAAGCCTCAGGTAATACGATGTCATCAAGATCCGGTTGTTTTGTTGTAATCCGTTTTCCCTTGCAAAAAACACTATAAAATGACATTTCTTGTTCTAATATAATCAAATTTCAAGAATCCCTTGCAAAAAATAAGGTAAAGTGGACATTCGCGCGCGCAAGACGAAATCCTTCCAAAAGCTTAGTGTTCGGAGCGATTTTAACATAAAAACATCAAAAAACCAATGGTTTTTCAACAAAAAAATGTCAAAATCTCATCCCGCGCGCTCTTGCGGATTCGTAGGAAACCCAACACTTTTTAAACATTTCTGTCAAACGGGCTTTTGCGAGCAACTTTTTCGAACTTCTGCGACAACGGTTGCGCACCTGCCAGGGCCATCATCCCTGTCAAATAATACCATGCGGGACACATTCGTTTTTTCTTCGCGCGCGCACGCCGAAATCTCCAAAAACCATTGGGTTCTTAAGAATTTTAGCACCGCGCATCATAAAATCACACGAATCGCACCGTAGGTCCTCGAAAAACACCTGCACGACTTTTCAAAATTTCTACCCGCGCGCGCTGTCCGAATCCTAAAAAAACCAATGGTTTTCCAACATTTATGTTACATGAGCTCGCGCGAGCTACTTTCGCACGCTCTTGCAACGGGGTTCGCGCGCCTGCCAGGGGCCACAATCCCTTGCGGTTGCGCCATAGGTTGCGCCCTCGGCCGCCGAGAATAAAACGTCCCCCTATTGGTTGCGCCATAGGTTGCGCCCTCGGCCGCCGAGAATAAAACGTCCCCCTACTGGTTCCGCTCCTCCTCCTCCTCCTCCTCCTCCGGCGGGGGGCGTGAGGATCCGGCATCGCTCACAACCATCGGGACAACCATCGGGACAACCATCGGAACAACCATCGGGACAACCATCGGGACAATCATCGGGACAGTCATCGGGACAACGATCGGGACAAGCACAACCATCAGGACAACCATCGGGACAATCATCGGGACAACGATCGGGACAACCACAACCATCAGGACAACCATCGGGACAACCATCGAGACAACCATCGGGACAACCATATCCTCTCTCTCTTGTGTATTCCCACATCCCTCAGGAATTTGCCCTAAAGATGTGATCAACTATCTTGTGAGTACGTATCATGTGTATCATGTGTATCATGTACCATATGCATCATATGCAACAGATGTTCTGTGGAAGGCTTCACAACTTCTGTGGGTTAACAAGGCTTAACAACTTCTGTGGGTGTACGAACGTAGGCTTAACAACTTCTGTGGGTGTGTACTCCACGCCAGTGTAGTAGCCACGGTCGTCCGCAGGCCACGAAGTGAAGTGTCCGAACGTCATAGGGCGGGAAGCTGGGTGTGGGTGGTGGCGAAGAGTCGTGTGGATATTTGGTAGAGCTTGCACTGCCCCCCCACAAAGTGGGGGTATTGGCTGGCGTCGCATGAAAACCCTGGCACTGGTGAGAACACTGAGCGTTCGGGTAAAGTGATTGTTGCTGTTGTTGCTGTTGCTGTTGTTGTTGCTGTTGCTGTTGCTGTTGCTGTTGTTGTTGTTGTTGTTGTTGTTGTTGTTGTTTGTTGTCGTCGTCCCACCCGCGACCCACCCCGCG